TCTGAGAAGTTCTAAATCCAGTATTTTGCAATTCTCCAGCATATTTATGTTTATGATTTTACTGTTATAGCAAAACAATAATAGTAATTTTTCGTTCTGTGCAAAGATTGTCACCTTAAACAACAAAACGAGTGACTTTCAAATTTCAACATCGAAGTTTTTTATATTTTTTCCCTTTTAAATGTAGTTTAGGTCATGGAAAAAATTCACATTTATTCACACTCAGAAGTAATTCTATTTATAGTTAGTTAAATCTGCTTAATAAACTATGCTTGGAAATATTGGTTACAATTAATCAACTTTCTCCAAGAGAAGAGTGAATAAGGTTTTTATATAGGGTGAAATATTGTTTGCATAAGATTTGTAATCACTACTACTACGACAAACAAGTCTAAAGCCCATGTAAATGTACTCCATGGTGTTTCAGATGTCACACATCACGTTGAAGGCTGTATTCAGGCTTTATTACACTTAAAACCGTGTAACAACAGTCAGCTGATATTTCATTCAAGCAGCTTTCTTTCTTTTTTTTTTAACCAAGCAATTTTCATCCAGCTTCAAAAAAAAGGATCAGATTATACCTAGCACTTCAAGGCTCAATGTGGGTGTTATTAAGCCAATCATGGCACAGGGAAGCAGGAACAGTCTTGGATGCAGTTTGAATCTTTTTACCAGTATCTTAAACTCTTGTAATGTAAATCTTAAGATGGATAAAATTTGATAGCCCTAGTGCTTTGCTCCATAAAAACTATCTGTGCCAATACACACAATGTGTTAGAAGTGGTTGGGTTTTTTTATGGAGCAAAGCACTAGGGCTATAGGTGCCAATACACACAATGTGTTAGAATATGGTTGGGGGGGGGGGTAACCCTTCATGAGTTATGACCTATGTGGTTGTGCTCTTGCCTAATATGTATTAGGTTTTCACAAACAAGCTAAGTAAAAAATCCCTATTGTGACTTCACCAAATTTAACTAGGTTGCAGCATGGTGCAAAAAATAGGGGCTAGTAGTTTGAGTAAATAATGTCTATAGTATCTTCAGACTTATTTCCTTAGTTTTGTTTATGACCCGTATTTGCAGGTTTTTAAATTCTCAATTTTTTATTTATCTTTTGTTGTTGTTTATTTTAATGCTGAACTACATGGACAAAGGATTACTTGATATGGTACTAACTTTATACATTGTAATGATAATAAACATAGCTAGTAACTAATAATACTTGTAGATGGCTTGAATGGGTAATGAAGAAAACTTTAATACAAGTTTAACATAACAACAAATGTACAACGTTTGGACATTATCAGATACAAGAAGTTTACACTGACACAGATATGTATATACAGTATGGAACAAAGAGGTCACATGACCGGATACTGTTGCACCACTTAGAAGAACAAGACTATTAATACAGTCAACCAATTCCGTAAACTAAAAAGTAACCTTGTAAATAATGAGATCAAATTCATTTATAATCTGAAAAAAAGACACTAACATTAAAATTCTAAAAGCTTATAAAGGCAACACCACTGTCATCATGAACAACTCTGAATACATAGACAAAATGAATGGCATCCTTTCTGATAAGAAGTTCAAAGCCATTCCAAACAACCCAACAAACACACACACACAAAAAACAACTAAACAGAACTTTATTACAAATGAAAAAAGATAATTTAATTACTGATGATATATATTTTTATCTACATAAAACTAATTCATGCACACCACAACTCTATGGCATTCCTAAACCACACAAACAGAACTGGCCCTTATGACCTATACTGTCCACATATGATTCCTTCAACTACAATCTTCACAAATACATAGCCTGGGCTCTCACACCATATGTAACATTTGCAGGTTCATGTTTTAAAGATGCCGTCAATTTCAAATATATGCTAGACCAACTAAATTCAAAAGCCTTAATGTCTAGTTTTGATGTTGTGTCACTCTTCACCGAAGTCCCCGCCAATGAAGCTTGCAATATTGCACTCGACCTCTACATTAATGACCCCAACAAGTTAATGCACATCCCCAGCACACTTTTTGCTTCTCTCTCTTAGAATTTACAACAATTAAAACCAACTTCATTTTCAACAACAAACATTTCCTTCAAATAGATGGTTTAAGTATGGGCAGTCCTGTTTCACCTGTTCTTGCTAATATATTTATGACCCAGAAACATACATTCTGGGCTTCTTCCCCCACTATACTGGTACAGATATGTCGATGACACTTTTGCTGTTTTCACGTCTATAGAACACACACTAACTTTCTTTAAACACATAAATTCCATTCATCCCAACATCAAATTTACCATAGAACACAAAAACAATAAACAGTTATCTTTTCTTAACCTCAACATTATTAGATCAGACACACAGTTTAAAACCAAAATTCACAGTAAGAACACACACACACCAGCCTCTACATCCCCTGGAATTTTGCTCATGACACCACACAAAAAAAATCAATACACTCAAAAACCTCATAAACACAGCCACAAGACTCGGTTCAACGGACTACATAGATGAAGAAATCAACCACATAAAGCATTCCTTCATTCACACCAACAAATTTTCACCAGCTATTGTTGAAAAACTCTCCAACATTCCCCACAACAAAACTCAACTCACGAACAAAATTGATAGTAACAAACACAACAAAGAACATTACATTGCAGTTTACCTTTTCTCCCTGAAACCAGCTCAATAATTATCCAAAACTTGGACAAAACTAGCCATTAAACACAATATTAAAAACGTCAAATTCTCTCAAAAACCTGGCCCTAAATTAAAATCATTACTAAACAAAAATTATTTAGAATCACACAATACCAACATCATTTACAAAATAACATGCAATAACTGCCCAGAATTGTACATCGGAGAAACATGAAGAAAATTAGAAACCAGATTCACAGAACACAATAAAAACAGTCCCATGTTTTCCACCATTGCAACTCAAAAAAACCATGGTATGTATTAAAACAGTAATTTTAAACAAAGAACCAAACAAAATAAAATTAAAAATCAAGGAATCCATCGTAATTGAACAAAACAACCCTACTCTAAACCAACACCCTGAGTTGCCAAGATACCTCTTCTAAGTCGTGCAACAGTATCTGGTCATGTGACCTCTTTGTTCCATATTGCATATATAAACTACTTGTACCTGATGATGACAAAACGTTGTCGAAACATTGTATATTTGCTGTTATGTTAAACTTATATTAAAGTTTTCTTCATTACCCATTCAAGCCGCCTCCAAGCATTATTAGTCTCAAAGTGGATTCCTTGTTATTGAAATAGCTAGCTGGTATGATTTTCACTTCATACATAATATAGGGGTTGGCTTCCTAAAGACACTGATTCTATAGTGTACAAAACCTTGAGTATCCAAATGTTATAGTAATCTAATTTTCATCTATTATTGACTGGTAATTCCTATTTTTTCCTATATTTAAGCTTTTTAAAGGAACACCAGATATATGTAAGGAAGCTAACTTCAAGGAGTAATGTTAAGCAAAGAATAAATTAAACACAGGCAATAAAGGAAAACAGTAAAACAGAAGTGTAACTTGAAACATAAACTTTTTATTTGCACACTAAACTGTGCTTTGTTATATGATTGGCCAGGCTTCTTCTGGCTTCTGGGGTTAACGTGGCTGCTTTGGTTGACAAAAGAAAGAGCAATGAAGATCAAGATACCTGAATTATATACCTGAAAATAAGAAAACTTTAGATATTCCATAATTCCCACATTCCATACTTCAACCAATGTTATACACGCAGTCTTAAGCCAAGCCAGGTGTACGTGTGTCTGTGACGACTTTTGAGTAGACCATTTTTCAAGAACTTCGTACAGAAACACGTACTGTACTCGTTAATATGAAACCCAAGGACAAAGGTTGCAGTACCTAGCCTTTACCAGTATAAAAGAATTAACAAGTATTTGCAACATTCAGACACCTGTAGAAAAATATGACAAACACACCTGAATCAAGAAATATTCTAAACTAGTTGTGGAAGGATGGAATTCGTGACTATTTCAGTCATTACAGTGATTACTCTTTCAAACTGTAATGAGTAACTAATTTAAACTAAACTTTATATTGTGAAATACCGTTATTGAATAGTTTTTTTACTGAAGTAAACTTCATTTAATCTAATTTTTTATCAGGAATATATGGTTTGCTTGTAATCACATGTTAATCATAATTGACATCACCTAATAAAAATATTGTGAAGTTTAAGACATTTCCAGATTTAAATTGTAACTATTAGTTATAGGCTGATAATACAATAATCTCGTATGTTAATCATATGCAGTAGCAAAAAAATATTTAAGTATTTTCAAACTATACTAAGATCAGTTCTTAACAATGTTTCATAAGTTGTCTCGTAGTTCATTTCTAAGATCAATTTTATATTATTAGTTTACGTTTTACTAATTATCCAACTTGGAATTATTAAGTATGTGCATTCAGATCTGACTTTCTGTTCTTATAATGAAATGCTAGTAGCAGTAAGATGCCTAATTATGTCAGTTGTTTAACTGTGGCAGTGTTATAGATTTTTAAGCTTAACGTAAGAGACAAACCAACTAAGTCAGTGTAAATAACTAAGTGTTTTTCAGTTGAGTATAGACTCTTTGTTCCGGTTATATATATTTTTCTTTTTTTTTCAATTGAATCAACTCGGAACAAGATTTTTATTTTGTATATGTAGCTGTACTTTTCATAGTAAAAAATCAAGTGGAGCTTTTTCTAAATGATCACATAAAAAAAAAAAATGTAAACAACTTGCATTATTGCATTTTTTAAAATTGTTTTAATGGCTGATAGTAGGTCAACAGGCAAAGATTTTACTATAAAATTTGAATTTTTCACAGATTTATTTTTTTAGGTACACCTGAGCCGATAGAATGGCTAATGTCGAGCAGAGGGTCAATGGCCCTGCAAATGGCGAATTCAATGTGGACAACTATGATCCAGACGATCCCGAGTTTCAACGACAATTATGGAGACGACCAGACATTGAACAGGATATGAAGGAGATGGAAAGGAGGAAGAGAGTGGAGACTATCATGAATAGGCAATTACTTTATTACGTAAAATTAATTATAGACAAAAATTGTTTGTTAGATTTAAAAACCTATGAATATATAGTAAGAAAATAAATATGAATCATAACAGTTATTTATCTGCCAGACAGCTTACAAACAAACTCCAGCACTTAAAAAAAAAGAATCTGTAAAATAAAATAAAATATAAATAAATGAACTTAATTTAAAAGTATAAACGTGGTAATATTTTAGTTCCATACACAACTTCGTAGTACACATCCTACTAAAAAGTAAATAAACACCCCCCCAAGAATACAAATTGACCATCTTTCTAACATCTTATGTAAATCACCTTGGTTTATAAATACAGGTATAGCTTGGTGAAAAGCACAGAACACTCACAGCCAAGCTATGAAAGAAAGAGTCTAAGAATTAACCATATTTTCAAGATGGATGTTGGAGGATGGTCAAAACTATTGAGAAATTGCCAGGTCACTTGCAGTATCTTTGTTCACAGGTCCACTTTGCATAAGGTGACAGTGTAGTTCCAGTTACGTCAGCATGGTTTTGGTGCCCAAGATGAACAGAATGAACACTTTGTGATGTGAGGAAAGTTGTAGAGAATTACCCACATCAACTGGCCACTATTTCTGCTGGACAAGTGCAAATGTGTCCAAATACCATCAGAAGTTATCCTTATAGCATAGGCTACAATAGCCTTGTAGCTAGATGGAAGTCATTCCTCACTCCAAATGCTGTCATACCCTCCTGTATCTTGGGGCACTGTAATTATTTTCAGATGAGTTTGGTGACAGCTGATTGTGTGTGAAGGGACAGTCACTGCTGCTTGATACATCACAAGTCTCAAGCAAGACCTCCTGTTTGCATGATTTACCAGCTTATGAGACAAGGTAGTGTTTAATGCAAGAAGAAACTCCTGTTCATTATTCATCCTGACTTACAAACTGATGGCTTGAATGTCAGGACATTAACATTTATCTGTGATCAGGCCAGTCATAGATATGATTCATATCAAGCATGTGCAGTTGTCAGAATTTAAAAATAATATTATATATGTATATGGGTTCTGGTTGTTTTTTTTTGCCAGTTGTTGAAATAAATGGCTTTTACTTATTTGTTAATAGTATAAATGTATACTATGTTGTTGGGCTGAAGATTCTTCTACAGTAGGTGTCTGTGACTTGTTAGCAATAATTTCAATGATGAATAAACAGCACACATTTTTCTTGTTTTCAAGTATTAAAATATTCACTCACAAATATAAACTAATCACTAATATTTAAACCAAACAGTCTTTTATATCATGACACAAACCTCTCTTCAAGATAAAATATTTACAATATTTTATTTACTATATACAAAGTATGCTCCAACATTTGTAGTTCCTTTATCTGTTTCTCCTAACATAGGGTCTCTAGTAGGGCATCTCCTTAACAGGACTCCTCATCTTCATCTTGACCTTGTGTTGTCTGAGGCCTGTATTTCCTAATCTATCTGTATGCTGACACAGTAGATTTTGTTCTTTTTCGCTCTTCTTATCAGTGAGTTTGACACTCATGTTCACGTACTTGTATGTCTCAACTCTACACAGTGCCCTTAGGCTTAGTAGGTCCTTATATTCTAAGACAAAGTCACTGTCTTCTGGTTCTGCATCTATGATGGCCACACCTGCAACATCCATCTCTGTTTCAATAGCTGTGCCTATTAGGAAAAATACTTTTTCAACAGATTGGCATGGTAGATCTTGGTCTTCCCATTCACATTTACCTTGTAGTCCATTCTGTTGAGTACTTCCTGTACTTGAAAAGGCCCTTTCCATTGCAGGGTGAGTTTGTTGTAGTCTGTGGGTAGCAGAACTAAGACCTTTTGTCCAACTTTAAAATGTTGATCCTTGGTCTTCTAGTCATAAAAATGCTTCTAACTACCTTGAGCTCCATACAAATTCTGTCGAATGAGTTGACAGGTTTACTCCAGTCGGTTTATGAAGTCTAACACATACTGGTATGTGTTCCTTTACTTTTGACTCTTCTTTTCCCATCCATAGCTCTTTCAATATTTGCATCGGACAAGGTACCGTTCTTCCATACAGTAACTTGAAGGGTGAAAATCATGTGCTAGCTTGTGGGGCTTCTCGATAAGTGAATAATACTGCTTGTAAGTACCTGTCCCAGTCATGTGGTCTCTCTTGGCACATCTTCTTTAGCATACTCTTTAAAACTCCATTAACTCTCTCGCAAAGTTCATTACATTTAGGATTGTATGAGGTGGTAAAGAATTGCTGAGTACTGATGAGTCTGCACACTTCTTGCATCAGTAAACTGGGTCCCTCTGTCACCCAGGATTTCTCTTGGAAAGCCTACTTTGCAAAATATCTCCAGGAGGGCTTCTGCTACTCTCTCTGTCTCTATCTTTGGCAATGCCATTGCTTCTGGATAACATTTTGCATAGTTGATTAGTGTTAGAACATACTGGTTGTCCTTGTCAGACACAGGCGCTAGTGGCCCGATCAAGTCCACAGCTACTCTGCTGTATTGCTCTTCTATGAGAGACATCTTCTCCAATGGCACTTTGGCTTGTCAGACACAGGCGCTAGTGGCCCGATCAAGTCCACAGCTACTCTGCTGTATTGCTCTTCTATGAGAGACATCTTCTCCAATGGCACTTTGGCTACTTTCCCTCTAGGTATTGTCCTTTGGCAATTGTCACATGACTTGCAGAATCTACTTGCATCTCCAATTACTCCTGGCCAATGGAAATTACTGGTGATTCTGTCTGCAATTTTCCTTGTTCCTAGGTGTCCTCCCACAATTGACTCATACTATTTATATCTTTATTACATAGTCATCTGGCCACTTTCTATATTCTCGACACCAATTAGTTATTAACAAAACCTGTCTAATACTGTCTGTCTACTGCATCCCACTCGTCTCACGCTATTTATATCTTTGTTACATAGACATCTGGCCACTTTCTATATTCTTGACAGCAATTAGTTATTAACAAAACCTTCTACAACTATCTGCTTTTAACTCTTATTATAACAAAACTTAAAAATAATAAAATATTTACTCACAAATATAAATTAATCACTAATGTTTAAACCAAACAGTCTGTTATATTACGAAAGTGGTTCATCGTTGATCGTTTCCTGTGAAAGCTTCCCAAACAACCAACTTCTACAGGCACCCTTATGCAAAATCTTAGTCAGGAGTGGGGGGTGCAATTCCACAGTCTGAGATTTCAGATTTTGAATATATCATCAACAACTGTGGGCTAACTTAACAAAAATTTGTTGTCCACTTATTGTTCTGTTTCTTTACATCTCTCACATTCTAACAAATATTTCCAGGGATATTCTATATAAATGTGATCAAAATGTAGCTCATTTTATGTTTCTAAACTATGAGAAATAACAAGATATTTATGCATTTTTACATGAAAGACTTTGATTTCTTAAGTAAATTTTTTTCAAGTTTTTGATATCCTGCCCTTTTATTGTGATTATTATTATTTGGCTAATATCAAAACTTAACTGGATCTAATTATACTTGTGCATGATTTTTTTCAATGGTAGTTTTGAATATGAAATATGCTTGCCTTCCTATAGCCAGATGTTTCGAGAGGAACTAGAAAGAATAATAGATTCACAAATGAATGAAGGATATGGCTCTAGCAGCTTAACTGCTCTTCAGCAAGTTTCAGACCTTTTGCTCCCTCATGCTTCACGCATTTCCTCAGCTTTACGTACTTCACGTTGCCTTCTGCCTATTAATGACATCAGAGGAGTAGATGGATTGCGATATGCTAAGGGTGAGAAGATACTGCGATGCAAACTTGCCTCTGTGTATCGGTTAGTGGATCTTTATGGTTGGTCTGACTCTATCTACAATCATATAACGGTAAGAATTATTTGCTTTAGGGCTGTAAAAAAATATATATATATAGTACTGACTTACTTATTTTGATGATCTATAAAAAAAAAACATTTTATACTGTCAAATAACAATTGATCAATAATGATGTGTATTGATTTGAATATTTTAGAAATATTTCCATTTTATATGAAATGTTTGATTAACAATCACATAATGTCATTACCACTGAAAAACACAAAATGTGGCATTTAACATATATTTTTTATTTTGTAAAAGAATATATTGAATGAACTGTTAATCAATAAGCTTTGAACCCTGCCAGACTGAAGTAATTTTTTTGCACTTTTAACAAAGTTCTGCTAACTTAACAATGAATGGTTACTTTTGATGTGGGCTTGTTATTGTATGAAACCACAGGGATGAAATATAGGGTTATGTGTTATTTGTGAAGGGAATTATAATTGTTTTATGAATTAACTTTAATTTAAAATTAATATTAATTTTTTGAAAGCATAAATGAAAGCCACCATTTTTAAGCAATATATGATTAAGTAATAACATTGGCTTAATACTCATGGGAATGGATTTTTGATACTGTGAGTTACACAGTGGTAGTGAAATGCACACAATCAGCATGATGGATTTGCCTGTGGTAGCAGCATTATATATGTTAACTTAGTTCAGTTGTTCAAATGGGTCAAGTCATTCCAGATAAGTGAGCAAGATGCATTCCACTCACATGGTTCTGTATTTTTGGCTGAAAATTGAGAAAGAAACGAGAGCTTACAGGGTTCAGTAACAAACCTGTACTATGACAGGACCTGAAATTCAGAACATTGATGTTATGTATGTGTACTTACCTCTGATTGTGTAAAGCTTGTTATTGAAGTTTCTGTATTTAAATGTTTTGAGTTCTGAATTCCTGAGAATTTTTTAAACTGAGTAATATCCTTAATAAATGAATTATTTTAGGTTATTTTCCATGTAAAATATTAAGTCCTTTGTTTCTTATGCTTTCCTCATATATAATGAATTGTTTATATTATTTTTAGTTTATAATTTTTGAAAGAAAATGTTTTTTTTGTTCTGAAAAGAATGAAGAGTATGTGATGTTATTAGAATAAACTGTTAATTGTTACCATTTCAATTTTTTTCCATTTCAAAAAATATGAAATAACCAAGCAGTAATTACTAAGATTAAAGCTGATATTAAATTTATACTGTTTCTCTTAGCTCAATAATTTAAATGTGCTAAAAAGTAACACTTCTCTCTTATTAATATATTTTTTCATTTTACTATATTCTCTTAGTTATTTTGTTTCTGTTTATGTTAGGCTCGAGTGAGTCAGGACCAAGAACATTTCCTCCTAAATCCCTTTGGTCTTCAGTACCATGAAATCACAGCTTCTTCACTTTTGAAGGTTGACATGCAAGGAAATGTCATTGACTCCGGTTCTAGTAACTTCAACTTTAACCGGGCAGGTTTCATGCTTCACTCAGCCATTCATGCTGCTCGTCCAGACATCAGAGCTATAATCCACATCCACTATCCTCCTTGTGTTGCAGTATGTCCCTTTTATGTTATTTTAAAATATTACATTAAGGCTCTAATCCACATCACTATTCTTCTTGTGTTGTAATATGTCCCTTTTATGTTATGTTAAAATATTATATTATGGCTCTAATCCACATCACTATCTTTTTTATGTTGTGATATGCCCCTTCAGTGTTAATTGAAGTATTAAATTATGGATCTAATCCACATCACTATTTTTCTTGTGTTGTGATATGCCCCTTCAATGTTAAAATATTACATTAAGGCTATAATTGACATCACTATCTTTTTTGTGTTGTGATATACTCCTTCAGTGTTAAAGTGTTACATTAAGGCTATAATCCACACCACTATTTTCATTATGTTGCAGTAAGTCCTTTTTATGTTAAGTTAAAGTGTTACATTAAGGCTATAATCCACACCACTATCCTCCTTGTGTTGCAATATTTATGTCAAGTTACAGTATTATATTAAGACTAACTGACATCCATTATTCTCATTGTATAGTGTTAAGTTCCTTTTTATGCCAAAGTAATGTATTATTGGTTGTTATATTAACCCTCTTGCCACAAGCATCTTTTTGTGTGCATGTCACGAGGTTTTAGTGAGTTACATTCAAAATTTAATTAAACTACTATCTTATCATGGTATACTAATAAATATATATGAAATCATAGCCAATTATCAATATTTTAATAGCCTTTAAGTTGTATGTTCTTAATTTCAAAAGGCAATATTAAAAAGATCCTGAATTTCCCCCAGTATGAGAATATTTTGTAAAATACAGTTACATTTCAGTTATAATACATTATATATGTATATACATTATTATTATTTAAACTTACTTTTTTATTAAAACCTCGAACAGTAAAAAAAATGAAGTATAGCAAACAATTATATCTCTTAGTTATGAACTTTGTACTCATTTGCTGCTTTATGTAGATTGCTAAGCCTTATCAAATTTCACATGTGGAAGATATGAAACGAAATAATTTTTTTTAGGTTTTATATATATAAATTTTGAAATAACCAAAAATCACAAATTACTATATCAATTCTACAGGATTCTACTATGATTTATTAAGTGTAATAACTAAGCTGTATTTGGGTCTTAAAAAATATTCAATTTTGATCTCACTAATGTCTTACTTTACTGCTTGGAACATAGCATGAAAAGAGTTTGCCACGCATATACTTTGCAGATGCTGAGAAAACCACTAGAGGGACATTTTGAACTTTTGATAGGTTATACTCATGTCGTTGGGCAAAGTAGGAGTGCGTAAGCAGGTATTTTCAAAAATTGAACAGTTGGGTGGGTGGGGCCACCTTGATTGATTCAATAAATATATTAATATCTCAGAAAATAGAAAATATAGCAGGTTTTTTTTTTCCATTCTAGGTTGTTAACATTGGTAATTTGAGTATATAATTTGTAAGAAACCATAGACTTTGTAGTTGGACATCACAAACATATATTTTGAACCAGTGCTGCATTAAGCATACCACGTGACACACTAAAATCAATATATAGGATTTGTTTAATATTTACTCTTAAATTAAGAAATTAGCTAATGTATAATACTAAACTTTGAAATATAATTTACAGTTTTGATACCAAATGTATTGACATGCATTCATAAAATAATAGTTCAATAAAATTTTGAATGAGAGTCAAAACATGTGATGACATGGCCCTTGACCCATGACCTGTATCTGTAGGGTTAATGAAACACAGACTCATTCATTAACAATAAGAGTCTTTTGTTCATTGATTGACATGATTATTTTTAGGTCTCTGCAACGAAATGTGGACTTCTTCCTATAAGTCAAGAGGCAGCAATTATTGGTGATGTCAGTTATCATGACTACCAAGGTATTTTAGTGAATCCTGCAGAAAGAGAAACAATAGCGAGGAATTTGGGACCTATCAATAAGGTTTGCTTTTAATTTTTGTACTTACCTTACCTTTAAGATTTTAGTTTAACAAATTATGTAAATGATTTTGTCAAAATCTCAGTATTGTTCACAATGCAATTGTTTTAATTGAGACTGATTGCATCCCCCCTTCCATGACCATAAGACCTATTTCCCAGTTCCCAAAATTCACATGTAATCCTCTTGATTTCTGTGTTTTTCATGTAATTTTGTGATATGTGTCACAATGATCCAAACTTTTATTGTTACCTTATTTTTTTCTTTGTTTTCCACATGCCATAACCTTTAATTGTCATAGTGATGCCTTGATTTGCTGGCAGATGGTACAGGAGTTCAAGTATGGAAAAGAATGAAAATTGGTAAATATTTGAAAAGATGATTGGTGAGAGTAGCTTGTTTAGAGTAAAGATGACAATTTACATATCACTGATAATGAGCAAGACTGGAAATTACTGGAGAAATAAAATGGAAGTGGTAGTGGTCAGTACTGATTTTCTTGTTACTGCTGACTGTGTCTGTATAAAAGTGCTTCATGCTAAATTTCAGAATACAGAATTGCCCTTGTTGGTATTGTTTAACTTTTTGAAAATGATAACTTCACACAAAGTCGCATGCTTCATAGATGCATATATATACTTTAAACATTTAATAATAATGAAATATTGCAATGACTTTTTGTTTTTTCTGAAATGCTTGAAATGCATGTTAAGAACTATGAACATGTTGACCACTTGTAATTATTTGTATTCTCCTTTGTCATTGTTCTTTCAAGCTTCTTTTGAAGTTAAATAAAGTACACAGTTTTTGGAAAATGAGGTAATTTTTTAACTCCTTAAATGTTAAAAACCCATGAGCTAGGGATCTTGCTAGGGCCTTATAGGTCGGCTCCCAGACCCTCTACTCTAAAATTCTGAAACCCCTTCCTCCAGATAAAGTCCCCTGATCTGCAGCTGACTAGACTTTTATTTTTTGTTTACATGCATTTAGATTTTTTATGAGTTTCTGTTAAAAAAAAGCCAGAAAAATTACATAATTCGTAAATTAACAACTGAAACTGATTGTAAGGGTTTGAATGTTTTTTTGCAAGGTGATGTTCCTGAGAAATCATGGGATTGTTGTTTGTGGAGAGTCTCTTGAAGAAGCTGTTTTTCTGTTGCGCAATGTTGTTACAGCTTGTGAAACACAGGTAGGAAACATTTAATGGTAAAATGTTTTATATAATACTTTTCAATCTCCATTATTTTTATTAATTATATTGTATTTTGTAGATACATTGTTGGTATTAGAGACTGAAAAGGAAGCAATTTTTTTAAAGTTATCTTTACAATTAGTGGCATTCACTCGTTGATTAGGATTACATAGTTAGTCACATTTGGTTCTATGATCAAGGATGATGGATAAGAATGTTTTATATTAAATTCTGTATTTATCGGTTTGTTATTATTTAACCTGAGATATTACGTCATTGATATAATGTTTTTTGTATATTGAGTTTGAAATTCAGTACATTAAAGATGTGTAACGTGTATAAGTTAAGGTAGCTTTACTTGTAATAGTTCAGGTAAAATGACATTTTTTGTCTACACAAAATTGGTATACTACAGATTGTTACATTATCTGCATGTTAAACTACTGTTTTACTGCTACCTGCATATAATTTCTGTTACTAGTTTCTTTAAGAAAATTTTATAATTGGTTACTGGAGCTTCAGAATAGCATCCGATTTTTAACTAAACAGAGAGTAGGCTTGTATTCATTTAGTATTAATTATACCATATTGTTCTTGTGTTTTCACAAAACTTGCATTATGGTTGGCTTTTGACCAGTGAGCTATACGTTTCAGACTAGTAAACAGTGGTCATTCAGTGCTAGCATCTAAACAACTTGGTGCTTCCTAAGATTTGGGTGCAGTTCTTCTATATGGACACACATACAACAAAACTTGGTGTGTCCTAAAATTTGGGTGCAGTTCTTCTATATGGACACACATACAACAAAACTTGGTGTGTCCTAAGATGTGGGTGCAGTTCTTCTATATGGACACACATACAACAAAACTTGGTGTGTCCTAAGATTTGGGTGCAGTTCTTCTATATGGACACACATACAACAAAACTTGGTGTGTCCTAAGATTTGGGTGCAGTTCTTCTATATGGACACACATACAACAAAACTTGGTGTGTCCTAAGATTTGGGTGCAGTTCTTCTATATGGACACACATACAACAAAACTTGGTGTGTCCTAAGATTTGGGTGCAGTTCTTCTATATGGACACACACATACAACAAATAAAATAT